ATTTGTTTTTTTTATATCTCAATAAAAATATTCTTAATGCTTTTCGTCTGTCGTCTTTTGGAGATTGTTATTTTATTTATTGTTGTACATTTAATTTCTCTGGCTCGAGTGTTATTATTATGACCTTTTGAGGTGGAATATCGTGATTTAGCATTTTTCCCTCGGTGAAGATCTACCAGGGAAGACGATGAAGGATTTGACTCGTTTTTTTACTGGATATCTTTGCAAAAGATAGTCCGCAGTGAAATCGATAAAGTTGACATTTTTCTCATAACTTATGCAAATGCCAAATAAAATTGTTTGTATAAAGGGAAAATGCTTCAGGGCAGACGTTTTAGCATCTTTCGGGATGTTTATTGCTTGGGGAGAAAACAAGAAATCCTCAGTATGGTGAAAAATCAATACTCAACGTTGTGCTTAAAAAAATGTTTGATAAATTTTTAACAAGAATTGCGTAAAGTGGAATTCATAAGACGAAGAACTTTTTTAATCTCCAGGGATTTGACTTTGCCAGGGCGCAATTTTGCTCTAAAGCTCACATTCTAATCCAATGAATATGCATGGGGATGATTTGAGGAAAATGTGATTTACTTATGGAGCTTTCGAAATGTTGTATTCCGTGCTATTTTTATGTTGGAATAAATTGAGATTCAGTTCACACAATCGATACGTTGTAATTATACACTGTAAGTTATTCGTATATTTTTGGCACTGTCGAATTATTTTGTATCACTTTATAAAGGAGGAAAGACAGAAGCTCAACTTGCGAGATAAATATTGATGAGAACGGAATAATATTGTATTTGAGTGTTAAACCCAAACAACATTCTTTTATGCAGAATTATTAGAATTAGATTTCTATAGAAATGTGCGAATTTCTGGTGTGTTTTTGTGTCTCTGCCAAGAGGCTTTTCTGTCTGCTGAATTGGCTTTTTTTCCACCCTTGCCGACACTCGAATATATTTTTAGTTTTATCAGTTGGGAGAAAGTGTGAGTTCTCTGTGTTGAATTTCCGAGCACAGAACTCGAGTGGGGAGAAATCTCTTGGGCTCTTTGAACTAGCATTATGTGTGTGGCATGCAACAGAAACAGAGCTGTAAATCGTACACTGAAAACGTAATCCACCACAGAAAAGGGGAATATTTAACCCAATTATGTATAAAAGGGTGGATTTTCTCGTACTCTCTTCCGGAGGGGGTGGAAAAATTTTTATATATATGCCAGTGAAGAGAGAGAGAGCAAATTTTGTGGGTTGCTTTTGCAAAATTTATTAGCTTTTTGCCTATAAAATGGTAAAGAGGTTGGAAAATTGGTTGAATTGCAATTGAAAGAGAGCGAAAGAGAGTTTTGGAAATGAGAAACCACGAGAAATATTCATGCAATTTTTGTATTTGATATTTCATGTATATATTTTAACATGAAATTCAGAATGATTTTGATCCGAGTGGTGATTTTTTGGTGAATTGCAGAGTTTCTTCTTCTTTGGTGGGTCCTTTGAACATTGTATATATAACATACATATAAAAAAAAAACATGTCGATGGTGGGAAAAATCGATTTTGTATATTCTACACATGAGTGGAGTTGAATTTGAGGAGCAAATGTATGATTTTATTTCGAGAGAAAGACGCGAGAGGAAAAAAATGTGTGTTGGCAAAGAAGGAAAGCGAGAAAAATAACATGTCTTTCTTTCTTTCAGGGAAGGAAAAATGTATATAATGTTTTAAGAGTGTGGAGAAAATTGTCAAAGTGATAAAGTAAAATATTGATTTTTGTTGTGTGGAATTCAGAAGAGGAATATTTGTCCTGACCATTAACTTATGACTCATTAAGTGAAGTATATGGCTGCTTTTCCCTGGTAATTAATCTTATTGGAGAGCTTTTTGGACACAGACTGTCAATTATTCACTGCAACAGCGCGACTCAATTACAATGTGGAGGGAAATTTGTGCAAAAATCCTGTACAAGCGGAGTAAATAGATTTTTGATGAGCTCAATGACATCCTGTGTGTAAATTTTTCACGACAAAGTGACACAATATCACAGGGAAAATAGTTAATTTTTTACTTGGCAACTATTAAAATTCACGTGGCAGAATGTGTGTCAGTGTTTGCTCTAGAAAATAAATCGTAAGCTTTTTTCGTCTCTCCGCTTTCGGGGTGTAAATTTACCACGGAAAGCGAAGTGGGAGAGCATAAAAGGTGAGGGCAGAAGAGTGGTTCTTTCAGTGGTGGTGTTTCATACATATATAACGCACGAGAGAAAATATACTTGCCAAACATGTTGTAATGTATTCGGGAGGCGAAAGCACTCTGCGCCAGTTATGAATAAAGATAACTTCGGTTGCAAGTTGAAGTTGGGATCTTTGTGCAGTATTTTGTTGGTACATTTTAATTAGGGGTGGAATTTTAGAGGAAAATTCTAGCTGAGATGCGGAGTTTTTTTTTCTCTGCCTCTGCCAATTGCCTTGAAGGAAGCTTAGTGAAGGGATTAAGTTTAACGTAGTGAAATCTGTTCTTTCTACTTCTTATCTCTCAAGGCGAAGAAGCTTACGAGACAGTGTTACTTTTTCCTCCACGAGACAGAGAATACGGAGTCATTGGAAGAGGGATTATCTGGGATGAATCTTCTAATGCTGGGAAGAGGAGGAATTTGATAGGAAAAGAAAGGAATTCATATTCCCATCCGATTAAATCTGTTTCATTCGAAAAACATAATCTGATGACAGGTGGATTTCCCGTCAAATCTGCACTGAGAGAAAAATTTAATAGTTTTCAGAACTCAATATCAGTTGCCAATAAACACTTACGAATAATCCATAAACGTAATATCAAGTTCAAATGAAGCTTCGCTAATCGTGAAAAATCAATAACGGCGTCATTTACTCCGTAATAACATTTATTATTATGTCTAAACTTTGAATGAATTTAATTAATTACGTGCGTAGTTGTTTTTCATGGTCTGAAAGGAGTAAAAAGCTCAAATATGTTCTGTGATCAACTACGACGTAGTTTGTTGTATTAAGAATTGACTTCTCACGGTTTCAATGTGGATTACGAAGCGTTATGATATAAATTTTGTATGTAAGTAATTTTTTTTTTGAAAATATTACGTTTTCAGAAGCTTCGTGATACGTAATAAAATTCATAATGAGCATAATTAATTTTCAAAGCATTACCAGAAGATGATGACGTCGCTTTACCCGCAATTTTCTCTGAGTGATGACAAATTTGAATATAAAGAGCGAAAGGAAAGAAACTGTTCTTTGTTGTAATTTCAAAGCTCAACCAACATTTGCACACCTGAAATCATTAAACAAAATTTCCGTGCTTTTTTCCTCCTGTCTTTAAACATCTGCTCAGAATTGTCTTCCACCTTCGACACTCTGGATGCTGATTGTAATTCTTTCTTCGCCTTCTGCGCTGAAAGTGCGAAGAACGGAAATGTGTTGTTGGGAGAAATAACAGAATAATTTTGTGTGGATCCGATGATCTGAAAAGGGTGTTCTGTGTCGTTTTCACTTTGTGCCTGAATTTTCCTGGGTGTTTCGTGTGAAATTTCCGCTTTTTCATTTCGGCATGAATAAGCGATGGGCTGTGCTGATAAAAGGGCAGCGCTTGGGAAGTTCTGATGCTGAAATATATTTGCTATAGCTTGCAATGTACATTGAATATATTGGGAGGAAATATCAGTGAGAGTGCTTCGTTACGTGACATGTGAACTAATTGTCATTTACACATTCGCCAAGTGCCTTTGATGTGTATATTTTATCATCCGCACTCGTCTTCATTATCAAATTTATCGATCTCTTCCGGAAAATCAATGGATAAATTGGGCAAAACAAGCCAAAGTCTCGACAGGGCGAGAAGAAATGGAGGGCAGATTGTTGACTGCATGTGAGTTTAGTGCGATAAAAGCCATGAATATAATCATTGTGTAACTTTTTCCGGGCCCATATTTATGTTCGTCTAAAAGCGTGGAACGTTTTATTGGATATATATCTTTGTTTTGTGATAAGGCGAGTGGAATTTGTGTATAACAGTGAGGAAAAAAGTGCGTGAATAATTTCATCATTGATTACATTTCTGCGATGACATGGGAAATGATATAAATGAGCATCATATTTCGCTGTATTTATCGCTATAATGTATGACATGGCTTTTTGGTGTGTTATAATGGAGCGAATGAGGAGGAAGCTTTGCTGGGCTTTTCGCACAGGTGAAAGGAAGGAAAAAAAAACGGTGTCGAAGGAGGAGAAAAGAAATGGATATGAGAAAGTGAATATGGGTGGGAAAAGTGGGTCTCCAAAGAAAAAGCACAATGGAAATTGAATGATATTTTACGTGTAATAACAAAATGTGTTTTTTTCTTCTTCCTCGGGAACAGCAGGAAAATGCGCAAGTGAGTTTTCTTCTATTAACAATTTTTTCCTCTTCAATGCGTCCTGAAAGGGATTTCACTTGTCGTGTGTGTGTGTGTGTGTGAGTGTGAGAAGGGCAAAAGAGGCGGTCAGTGTGGAAAATTATTTGTAACATCCGCAAAGGAAATGTTATGAAGAGCGAGAGAGAGAGAGTGATAATCAAAATATTGCCATTGATGCAATTTCTGTTATAGTTAGTTGAAAAGTCCACTGGTTGAAAATCAGATTAAAGGTCTCTTGATATGGGTTTTTGGCGCTGTGTAATGGATGAAAATGCTAAAGTGAGTTAAAAGAGGATTGGGTCACATTTGGTTTGAGGTGGATTCAGTCCATTTGGCAGCAATTTTCCTCTGGGGAACTTTTACTCCACACAAGCAGTGAATAATTCCCTTCCTCGATCCCTGTTTTCTTTTTTTATTTTCTATATCACTGGACATTGCAACTGTGTGACGATGTGATGGGAAATTCGGGGCTCAAAGGGAAACTATTTTCCAAGATTGATGACATATTTTTTTTGTGCGGTTGTAATTTGACAACAGAATCGATCAACTTCACGGACTCTGTGTGGTTTCTCTTTGCAGGAAACGTGGTGTCGACGAGGAAAGAGGTACTATTGCTCATCGAGTTCGCCAGATTCAACAACACAATCCCAATCACAAAGTGCACCTAAAAATGTAGAAGGTGAGTGGATTTGCTGCTGTTTCATTTGGATCAAATTGTTGGGCTCTGAATGGATTGCAATTGTGCACGTGAGTGCAATTTCAGTTTGTCGTGTGATAGACGCGATTTTACCGTGAATGCCATGGAAGAGAGACATGTAAAAAATAACCCCAACTCAATCACATTTCCAATGAAGTGAGCATCTTTCACGGTGAATTTTGTACAACGAGGTGTGTGTCTGGTGCTGGCAAAAGAGGGGATTTCAATTTAATTTGACGGAAGACAACTTCACTAATGGTTTTGGGGGTGTTACGACAAATTGGAATGCTGTGAGCTCAACAAAAAGCCTCTCACAATTAAATTCCACGAAGAGACATGAGAGAAAACTCCGTCGAATGAGGGGTTGAATGGCACTCAATCTAGTGTAAGTGTTACCATAAATACTTGGCATTTTAAGGGCTGAAGCGAAAAAGCTCATGAAGTCTATCAGATTTATGATGTGCATTATCACCTCATTTGCCATAATGACTCTTGCTAATGAGTTCATGAATTTGATTTGGTCACTATGCAAACGGCATTGATGACTCGCATTGCTGAATTTGGTAATGAGTTTCACAGCTGTTTTCACGTGTCTGAAAATCCAATGGTTCACCATTTATGTGCTGTGGGATTGCCAAATGCGGACAACTGATTAACCAAGGGATTTGCATTGATTTTGGAGAAATCTCTTGAGCGTGCATGAGTGGAAAATTCATCAAGTATTAATTCCAAACTCTTGCGTGAAGTGAACTTTTCTGACTTGAGGTTTCATCTTGTTGGGGAAGAGCGTTTAAGAGCACGCAAATATTTTGAACACTTCTTCATTATTTATCTTTACTGACTGAAATGAAGACTTTTCGACATTTTATGAAATAATTTTGTGAGTAATTTCTTGCATAGAAAAGTGATTAAACGCCTTGAAATTAATTCGAAACTTCCGAGCTTCTTTAATCAGGAAAAAATCTGCCTCAAAATGTGAGACAATGAGGAGCTCGAAGTGTGCAATTATCCCAGAGTTTTCATTTGCTTTAGAATTCAGTGGATAATTAAAAGGTTCAGAGAATTAAATGGTGTAAGTATTGTGAAAAAAAATGTCTTTTAATTAACTAAAGAAAGCATTTTTACTCCTTTGATTTTCGTCTTTAAGACTCACAATTAATGCCCAGACATTAGAATACAATTCAACTCTTCATCATTGACATATCATCATTCACTGGAGCATCAGAATTATTTAAATGTCAAATACTCTGGAAGAATGGCAAAAAAGTGTTCCTGAGCAAACCTTTTGATGGAGTCTAAAAAGCTCTGCTTAATGTTGACCTGGGGAATTGGAGTATTCCCATGTAATTTCCTCTTTCCTCTCATCAATTTTCCTCCTTTATCTGGGCGAATGGTGAAAGCATTTGAGCCTTTTCCATCTTCGATATCAATTCGCGTGTGTTGACTGAAGAGAAACATACCATTTATGAATTTATGAAATTCTTATTGATTTTCCATGAAAGCCAGGAATTCAAATGCTGGAGAAGAGCTTTTGCACGTGGAAAACATCAGGGAGAAGGAGAGATTTTGGCGCTGGAAATTTCCATATTTCAATATGTTATCTGTGTATGTGTTTTTGTGTGTTTTATCTACAATGAATGCTCGTTGGCTGAGTAGGATTGACAAATTGATTTATTAACTCACTGAGGAAGTTACAATATGTAGTACAAATGTATGTTATTTTGGACAGTTTATATACGCGATGAATTGTTGAATTGCATTTCATTTGATGAGGAAAAGGATAACAAATAAACCACAACCGAAATATTTCTATGCAATATTCTAATGTGATTTCTTTTCTTCCATTTTTTTTTCATTGGTAAATTATAACTTAAACAGGAAAAATAAAACAGTAAAGAGAAATTGTGAGTGGGAGGGAAGAAATACTGATACATTTCAATTTGATTAAACTTATTCGTTCTTTTTTTTCCTTCTTCGCTTTGGATAAATTCTACACATTTAATCGTAATCATTGGATGATGAGAAGCGATGGAAGTTGAAGAATGATTGATGCTAATGAGAAGGGAGGGAGGGTGGGGAAAGGGGGTGGACTATCTTGTCTCATTTGCAACTGTTGAGACTGTCGTAACACTCGCCATTGGGATCGAGCACTTCGAATTCCTCGAATTCCATTTCGTCGTACTTTTTCTTCTGCTTCAGCTTGACGTCGTTTGTCACATAGTTCTTCTCGTCGAATTTATTCAATGTGCCCCACTTCACCATCTTGCCGGGTGTCTGTTGGAGATTTCCCAGGGATTGAGTGGGTGTGGACTCGGGCGCCTTGTCTGCGCTGTTCTTATCGTACAGAATGTGATCGGAGAATCTCCTCATGACCGGCGTGCTGTGCGTCTCGCTGTCGATTGAGTGGGATTTCTGCTGGCGATATGTTATCTTGGCCTTGCCGGATTCACTCAAGTGTCCCTTGATGTCCCGGAAAGTCTGCTCTGTGCTGCGCCCATTGACTAAGTTCTCGAGTGATTGCGAGGCTTTCTTCGCGTGATTCTCCTTATCCTTGGTCGGCTTTGGTGTCGGCTGACTCTTGTGGTTGTTGCTCATGCTGAAGGCCAAATCCACGTTCTTGTTGCGACACACTTTGGTCTTTGTCGCCGCCTCCTTGGCTGCTGGCGTGCAGAAGCTTATGTGATTATTCACGGTGACTTGAGTGATGAGCTCAACAGGTCCAAGACGATGATCACCGCCTTTTCCCTCCGTCAATTGATTGTTGATGGTCATCGTCGTGCCGTCCTGACTCTTGTTCTCGTCAATCTTCTCGATGCACTTCGACTCAATTATCCGCGGCACGGGCTTCTGGTGGATTGTTCCCGTCTCCAGACGCTCGACAATTGTCCTCACCGACTGCTCGGTTTCCGGAATATCCAGCGACTCCTCGCCATTCTCCTTCAGGCGCTCATCCGGATCGGGCTTCCGGCTGGGCGTGTTGAGTTTTCCCGTGCCCACGAGCTCCAGGCGACTGCTGCAGCTGTTGGACTTCACCAACTTGAACTTGACTCCTGCAGAAGAGACCAGAAGAGGAGCAATTAGCAAGTTTTGCAGGCTCAAATGGTTCAATCCCAAGAGTGGGCTTTATCAAATGGGCGAGAATTGTCGCATTATCCCAGATAAAGTTTGTCCTCTAGAAGAAAGTTGAGTCTTTCCCACAGTCTGAGAGAGTGAGAGAGTCCTTAATTTCCATGCTTCGAGCCACACATTGTGGCAGAATGGGTATTTTAAAGGATATTTATTAACAATTTAAATGGAAATTTCTTAATACAGCCTCGCAATTGCACATGGGAGAGATATTTCACAGTTGGCAGGAGAATATTGTGTGTGGAATAAATTATATTTTCCGCATGTTCAGATGGCTTTTTACTAAAGTTTATCTCGAGAGCGTCTGGAGTAAATATGACATGGAAGAAGAACTTTCTAAATCTGTGCCTGGAATGTTAAGATTGCGATAGTGTGTATTTTCCCAGCTGCGCTCGCTGTCAAAAATTCCCTCTCAAATCGAAAGGGGAAAATATTGCCGTTGGCGCTTTATAGATATATTTTCAAGATAATATGCATAGTTTCAGGATGAAATTTGGGAATATTAAACTCTGCTGAAGAGTTGTTTAAAGTTTAATGCATTTTAACCATATACAGCGTAATCTTCCTAAGCTCTAGAAATTCTATTTAGGGGCTTTTATTCACTCACTCGTGATAGAATTTTCTCTGCCATTGAGATTTCGCAATGTGAATGATTTATGAGACGGACAAATGAAAAGTGAGTTTTGGTGTAGAACATAACAAGGTATGAAGATGAAAAGTTGAATGAAATGAATGGGGTTTATATGTGAACAGAGAGATTCTTTTGATTGCCAGGCTTTATGGAAACCACTTAAAGTGAATCGCTAGAGTAGAAGAGATTCGAGAGCTTTGCGAACTTTCGTGCTTTTTATCGTCTTCATATGATTTTCATATCTCTTGTCTCTAGTAAATAAGTGTATTTTGTGCGTTAATCTTCTTCTGCACTTGATTTATTGGGTTAAATGAAGTTCACGATGTTTCTGCACGTATTTTCTTCAATTCCAAGTCTTAAATAAATGACCATTCATCTCTACATTGTTCATGAAGCTCTTTTCTTGCTCTCTAAAGACTCTAACAAATGGTTTTCACACTTTTTTTCTGTATTTTTCACTTTTCTAATCTCACTAATAACACGAAGATTTGATTACATTTTTCGTATTTTACTTCGTCAGCATCTTGAGGGGAGGATTTTGAGAAGAGACAACATGGCTTTCAATGGTGTTTTTATCCTTGAACAACATGATTATTAAGCCTTGTCACACTCTATATTTTCTACGCCACTGAGAGCTTATAAATCCTATCCTAATAGCTTGTCTGCCTTCAATATATTGCCACTGACATCTCTAATGACCGGCATGGAATGGCTTTGATGTCATCTCCGGGTGATTAATTAATTGACTGGTGGGCGGGCTCACCGAGATAATTGTTGTCGGATCTCTGGAACTTGGCGGTGAGTTCCTCCGTCTGTGGGCAGTTGTGGGGCTGACAAGCGCCGCACTTGAGCTGCGTCCCCCTGATTTCCTGCATGATAGCCTTCGTCATGGGGCTGACGCTGGACTTCTTGTCCACCACGCGGCCGCCGTAGTACGTGACAGAGGAGCCGCGCTCGCGGATCTTCTCCAGGACGTCCTGTTGGGGCGGGTAAGAGAGAGAGAGGAGATTGTTCGGGGGGTGTTTGAAGATGTGGACGCGGGAGGAGAGTTTGTAAGGCGGCTTGCTGACAAGATTTGTACCTGACTTACGTAGTGTGTATCACAAAGTTCGTCATCGCAGAGGTTCTCTTCGCTGGAGTAGTGGATCACTTTGTGACCGTCGGCGGTGAAGAGGGTGTCGGGGTGGTCGGTGGTGGCGGTGCACTCGCAGGGTGAGCTGAGGTCGCCGCTGGAGATGCCACTTGAAAGACTAGCAGAGTCCCATTTCCTAATGCTGCCACGGGCATCGTCGTAAGATGATGTGTCAATAGCTAAATACCTCAATGTTTTCTTCCTCAGGCAATCGGTATGCTTGACACCAATGCCCGGTGAGGCCTTGTGACCACCACCAGACGGATGATGATCCTTTCTCATACGCAATGTACCCTCAAAGAGCTTTCGCACATTTCTCACTGTGTCGGGCGTTGGCAATTCCTCATCAATCAATTCCTTGTTTACCCTAACTGGGTGATAAAAGAAATGTCTCTTGAGTCCATTTTTACCCTTTTCATTTGCCTTGCCCGCACCTCCTGTTATCCGACACGCCGGTCGGTGGTGTTTCACGGGTTTATCACTGATTTTCTCTATTTTCGTGCGTACGGGCTCAATGATCACCACGTTATTGTTGGCCAGCAATTCCTGCAGATTAAACTGAATAATTACACAACAAATCTCGCTGTACTAACACACTTTTCCCCGCGTCAATGTTACCATGCACCGCACAATGTTTTAGTATTCTAAATAGGCAATGAGAGAGAGTGGGAGAGAACTTCCCTTACGCTTTGGCAATTCACTTTGTGAGTCTGAATAATAATGGTGCTTCACAATGTGAATGTGCGCCAGCAAATTTGGGGGAAGAGAGGTGATAAAATGCAGCATACCTGAAAGCTGTAGTCTTGCAGGTATTGCATCAATCCATCAAATTGCGCCTCGCGGCGCGACTGTGTGAGGAGATTCTTCTGGAAGGTGTCTGATTTCATCACTTTATATCGCACATGATCAAAGTCATTGTCAGCACTTTTGGCCTTCACCACTGCCGTTTGCGTCTTGCCATCCAGCTCGATGATCTCCACGGTGGGACAGAAGCTCTTCTCACCGTTGAATTTGCCCGAGTTGAAGACTTTCTTATCGCCCACATCGCCCTCAATTGTCTTCACGATGTTCTCCACTGAGGTGAGCTGTGGCAAGTCGCTCTCGTCGCGCGAGCGCGTCTCAGTCTCCGTCGCGGTGTCTTCGCCGTCACTCGAGGTGGCCAATTTGGACCAGTAGCAGCGAATGGAGTCGACTTTGTCGTGGAACTCCTGCTGAATCTCGTCGGCATTTGGCTCAGGCAGCGGCGGCGGTGGCGGCGGCGGCGGATTTGGCGGCTGCAGATTGAAAGACACCGTCGGTTTTGTCTTCTTCGTCGGCTCAACAATGTGCAGAATCTGCGGACGAGGCATCTCCACTTGGCGCTTCCCGTTGAGTACCTTTGACTTTAGACAATCCTCCTTGACGCCGTTTGCACTTCTATCATTGAGTGACTTCACCTCGTCCACAACCTTTATCGGGCGCGCATTGAACACTTCCTCTTCAGAGATGATTGACGCGTTGTCTTGCGTGCCAGAGTCTGCTTGATCCTCTGAACAGGGAAGACTCTCTTCGGGCAGACACTTGAGTGGTGGACTTGGTGGGAAACAATTTCCACACTCTTCCTTTGTCTCACCACTTGTATCTGTGATGAAGATTTTAATCTCAGAGTTCCTCTCTTCAATGCTTCCTTTCAGCACTTCACTGTCTCGCAGGCTGTTTGAGCGCTTCACTGACACTGACTTTAGACGTTCCTCGGCCTCTTGCAGATGCAATTTATCCACTTCGTCCACAATCACCTTCTTCCCACCGATATTCACAGCGTACGCCGTCTGCTGGCCCAATCCTATCGAGCACTCCTGATCGGAAGCTGCCGAGAAGGTGTCCAAGGAGTTCTGCTGTGCCTCTGTGTCCAAACCCAATTGACTGAGATATTCAGTGGTGGAATCTGAGTCTTCCACTTGCTTGATTGGCGTCTCAACTTCAATACTGGGCGCTTCTCGTGGTTGTTCCTCAATTGATATTGGATTCAAGACTACAACTTCGCAATTCTCTCGCTGACGAAGTCGCTTGTGCGCTCTTCCAAAGTGTGATATCGAATCGTAGATAGATTTCTCTTCCTCAATATCACACGAAAGTCGCAACTTGGCGTCAATTCTCTCCGATGCTCTCAAGCACTTTCCAATGTTTATGTCCGGCAAACTGCAATAGTGATTCTCCACGAGTTTTCCCTGAATGTCCCTGTTGATCTTGCTGTCGTTCAAGAGGCGATTTGTCGTGAGGAGAGTTAATCGTTCGAGTGTGCCGCGATTGGAGATGTCTGAGAATGTTGTGAGATTTGTCACTGAAGTCTTGTGCTCGATGCCGACAATTTTAGGTTTTGATTTGTTCACTTGACTGTACAAAGTGTCCAAATCGTCAGCTATTCGTGGATCCACGTATTGACTTCTGCTCAACACCTCATCATAGTCATCCACTGTGATGTGAATTGTGCCATCGCCTGAGGAGATTGTCACTTCGGGCAGTGGATCGCACAGACTCTCGTTGATCACGGTTTGTCGATCACTCGTCTCCGAGGACAGATAGATGGAATCGTACGAAACGACACTCTTGAGATCGTCACGGAACTTTGTCGAGTCACTGTTGAGTTCGATGATGAGCTTTGAGCGCTCCTCGGGAATTCCTTCGCGATGGAATTCCTCACCGTGTTCGCGCTCGTTGGCTTTCAACCACTTCAATGTGTTGTTCTGCGAGGCGATCTTCTGATCCTCCGTCTGTAGAATGTCGTCCAACAGCTGAATTTCCGGCAGAGAGCTCTTATCACCCGGTTCACCTGGACAGTGATCTGGGACGCTGTCGGAATTGGATGTTGTGGTGTCTGCGAGAATCCTCGGATCGGAGCAGTGAATGTCGATTTCTGTCTCGAGATGTTTGCCCTCGAGTTGATCCTTGTTGAGCTCGAGCGATGCCTGATGCGAGGAGTTCTTGAAGTAGCTCGAGTCTAAACTGTCCAAGTCACTCTTCTCGTTCTGCCATGTGCTCGATGTGGGCTGAGTTGATGTGTCGAGTCGCTTTAGATTTGCATAAAATTCATCAGATTCCTGCGACGTGTGAGTTCTTGCACTTGCCGCGTCGTCGTCGTCCTTTTTCGCCTTATATCTATGTATGTGCAAAAGAGAAAATGGGGGAGAAAACACCCAGACTGTATAAGCATATAATGTCAAGTGGGGTGATTAATGACTTTTCTCACCTCTCTTGAAAGAAATTCCTATCCACCAATTTGGCGCGTGGAATTAATTGTGAGCGTCGCGTTCGGACACCACTTATTTGCAGATCGTTGAACGTTTCCTCCCTGATTACAGCCAAACTTCGTGTACGTCTCAGACTGCACGCCTCAACGCCGCCAGAGTTGAATAGCGGATCAACGTGATCGTATATGGAATCGCCCTTTCTCGCTGCAAGAAATTCCACACAGACACAAACAATTCATATATGCAATTTCTCCGGCGCTTTAGAGAGTTTCGATGTGGCTCTCACCTTTGTGATTGACTGCGTAGAAGTCCTCGTAGTCACGACCGGTGTCTACGCGTGTGTAGAGATCGTAGAATCCGCCGTAGTCGCGTGAGCGGCCGCTGCTGGTGGAGAGATCGATGCTGGAGAAGGATCTCTGCCGCCACCCGGATCCTCTGCCTGGTCCACTGAAACTATGAGGCTCACGCAAGCGCACTCGATCCACGTAGTTGAAGTGTCCCTCGCCGATTCTGCAACGGAGATAAATTGGAGATAGAAAACTCCTTATCTGCCAGCTTATTTCATTTGTATAATGATATTCTCCAGCTGGGAGGTAAACAAGTCAGGTGGAAATTACACTCTGTGTTTGCATTCTCACTGCCAGAGTTGCACAACTGATAGATTCACTGCGACTGTGTGCGTTTCGATTCACGTTGATAAGGAAAATTATCATTTTCAATTAAATACTGTGAAATTGAGAAACTTTGTAGATATTTTCTCTTCTTTTGACCCATTTTTGTGTGCCAATTTGTGCTTTTAGTCGCTAATTAAGCTTTTGCTGAAAATTCTGTTGACTCGTGTTGAAATTTTTTGACAAAGTCACAGTGTTATCATACGAAATGATAAATTCACATATAAAATATTCATATTTCGGGTAAAAAACTGCTAAAAGTGAATAAATTAAGTTGAAATATTAGAATCTAATGTGGAAAAACCTGTTGATGTTCAACTCTGAGTCTCCCTGCTCTACTTTCTTCCCACAAAACATATCTGATTTCCAGTGATTTATTGAATCAATAAAGCCCAAGATCACGTCGATTAGCAATGGATCTCGGAGTGTTGAGAGAGTGTTCACGAGATGTTGGGAAAGAAGAGTGAGAGAAATTACATGAAATGCTCAGTTGCATTCTAAATTAATTCCACCATCCGATGGTGGAATTTAGTCAAGTGGGAGGAGGAGCGGGAGGGGGATAAAAAATGAGAGACTTTATATGTATATTGATTTTTGCTGCATTCAAGTGATTCCTCTCGTGCTTATCATATTAATTCGGTTGAGTAAATATCAAATATTTGCATCATCCATTAATGCACTCTTGGCGCTCTTTTCTCTTCCTCCAATTTTTTTTCCTTCATCTTGAGGAAAATCTGATGACCTCGCTGGAAGCCCTACTTCTTGAATTTATTTGCGGCAAATATTTGAATAAATTTTCCATGGCAAGACAGTGAGATTGGTTGAGATTAATATTTCTCTTTCACCTGCGTTCTTTCTCTCAAAACTTGCAAACAAATCAGCGCAATGGCAAGTAAATGGAATGCGCTTCTTTTTGTGGGTGCTTTTTATTATTACACTTGATTGTGTACTTGCGCGATGCTGGAATTGAACGTGAGAGAAGGAGAGAGAAAAAAGCATCTCGCATTTAGAAGAATATAAGCAACCAAAAGAGTGTCGGTGAGTTTGGATGTACAAAAACCGTGCTTCACGGTCAATGATTGCATATCCAATAGAAAATCACGAAAAGATCTTTTGTAGCAACCATGTAAAATACTCTATAAGTAGATATATGTACAAAAAAAAATAATGTGTTGCAATATTTTAAATATTCTATTGTCTGTCGCCGAGGGAGAGACTCTGTCGCCATGGCGGAGAGTCAAATGTAATTTCACTGTTCTTTGACTTGTTATACCATCTTTCACAATATCACACAGCGCGAAATAGTGTCAATTGGGTAAAATGGAAATTTTCTACACTGTCATTTTGGCTATGGTGTTATCTTGGGGGCTGTTTTCATCATCTTCAACCATGTACAAATCACTTGAGCAAATAGGATGATAAATTATTGTTCCATCGTCGCTGAAAATTGTGCCTGTTGAGATGTTTACCGTGATGCTTAAGGAGGGAGAGTTTCACAAAGTTGCTAATTTTTCGTGTTGAGGCGCGTGACAATGTCTTTAGAATGGTTCTTATGAATATAGCACACACTTTGGGTGAAGAGGGTGAAGTGTTACATTAAATTTTCATGCAATGATCGATGGTCTTTTGGATAATCCGTAACGACATGCTTCCGATTCGTTGATCTTCAGGTTGTTTTTGTGCATAATCATGCCTTGAAACTCTGTGACTAATTCACTGTAATATTGTCACAATCTGAGAGAGAATCTCTATAATCTCTCATATTTGCTGTCACGTGAATTCATGTCATATTGAATGGCAAATCATCTTAGAAGATTCTCAAATTACTATTTAATTCTATACATCTTACATAACTTTCCACGCTGAATATAATGTTCAGTTGGAGGTTATTTAATTGGAAAAAATGGGGATAATTACACTTGCTCGCCAGTGTTTTTCACGAAACTTCACAAGAGATTTTTGTTGTATTTTTTTTTTAAGTCAAATCACAAAAAGTCTCAATTTGTTTTTAGGGTTTGGAAAACTGTCTGGGAAACGCACAAACACACACAAAATTGATAATTGCACGATAAGAGGTGGAAAAAGGTGGTTTGGTTTTTCGTGGAAAAATCACTGCGGGAAAATTAATCCATTCCCGTTGGCTGCCAAACCGCGACTAACCGCATGCGCCACTGACTTAATTGATGGGAGGGGAATTTCATTCGTCGCATGCAACATGTACATATATAAAAGGTGCTTTTTTCTCCATGGATTTTCCACCACTGCGACTGTGTGTATTGGAGTTTGGGACGCGGATGGTTTTGTGTGTAAAATTCACGCCAATGATCATTTATGAGAAACAAAAAGGTCTAATTATAATGCTGGTTATTACACATTTGCACACACTTTTCATGCGCCAAAAGAGGTGAGTAGAATGTGTGTGATTTCTCACTCTGTGTTCTCCGGAGGTGTTGAGAGAGGGAATCTTAAGTTAAGATAGGGTGGACAAACAAAGTCTGTCTGTGCGATGATAAGAGGGAAACATCTTGTAATTAATAAACAAACTCCACAATCTTCTCACCGACGTGCATCATCGTATATATATATTTTGATGGCTGGTTGGTTTTATGACGAATTCACCGCCGTGCGCGCGCGTCTTGAATGATAAAGCATATAGAGACAGAGCCAGGGAAAGAACAAGATAGTGCGAGAGACAAATGGTAATAATTACAATGCTCAATTGTGCTTCCATAAATATTTACTTCTTGTACAATTACGATGATTCACGCTGTGGAGTCAAGAGACTCTCGTCTGTCGGTTCACAGGAAGTTCAGGTGAGGAAGTGAAATATCCAATATGCGTTCACAACAAAGCGCACCCCCTCTGCCCATCTGTGCATGCCCAGAGAGAGACGTGTTGTGTTGTGTGTGGATGGAAAAAAGAGGCACTTTTGGTGGCAATATACATAGCAAAGTGGATGGACAGTCATTGTCTAATCGGTCACGGTTTGTCAATCACGGCGTCACGTCCATTTGGCGGAATATTTACGCATAGACAGCATAAAATTCAGTTATTTCTCTCTTTTATAACTTCCACGAAGGGAACTTTTCAATGAAATTGAAATGAATTTACTTTTTGTCCCTTTCACTCTTCGACGGGGTTTTTTCTCCACTCTCAATTCATCATTTCTGCGGTCTCTTGTTTTACTTCTCGTTGTCCGGACAATGAGAATACAATATTTTGAGAATGTGATTTTAATTTTGGTCGGTGGGAAATGTATATTTTTTGTAAAACAATGATATATTTATTGTCATGCACAAATGGAATGCGTGAAAAATGGAGTGATAGAAGTTTCAAGAGGGGATTTTAAATACAATTTGTTCTATAATTTCTCATCGTCGCATCTTCTATCTGTTGCATCATCAGGCGTATGATGAATTGTGGCACACAAAGGTTGTGAAAAAAAGAGGTAATAAAAGTGAAATAGCAAGACAAATGGTGACAGCACTGCCTGTGTTCTTTGCATAATCACAAACTGCACGTAGGCCAACAAAGAATTGTGGGCAATTTGTTGGTGATTTGCACAGAGGAAAAGGAGGTTTCTCCTTGTGGATTTCAGTGCTGAAAAGTGAGTAATGAAAATGTCTTTTACAGCCCAAAACGCATCTCTATGGTAATTCTTTCTTTTTTTGCAGTCAAAAGACTCTCGTTTTTGTTGGCAAAATGTATGGCGCGATATTCACTTTGAAATGTGGGTATTTCATAATTTTTCTAATGTGCCACAGTAAAGTGGAATATCCGGTGAATTTTGTAATGAGTTGTGGTGCATATATAATGTCATTTGCAGTCTCATTATCCGACGCTGTTTTTTTTCGTTATTGCCTCTCTTTCTGAACATCGTATGCAGAAATTTTTCCTTCTCGTGCAACTCACCTGTTGCGGTAATTGCAAATTGAACAATTATTATATTAGAAGAAGGTTCTCGCTCCTTATTTTATGCATACTTCACTCCCACTTTGAGTGGTGTAATTCTTGTACCTGTGAGTAAATCGATGTTTTTGGCACGAGAGGGAGTGAGAGAGTATTTGTATTTCATCGGATTGTAGCTAAAGTTGTGTATTTAAGTAAATGGGGGGTTGGAAATTGCGAATATGCGGTAAAATCCTTCCCTTGTATCGAGGAGGGCTTTCCTAATACCGCCACACACAACTCCAAAATTACCACCGAGTCACGAACAAATGTTATCATCACGTCATTTGGACTCGTTTACGCAAATACGCCGCAACGCAGAGTTAAAATCGAAATGAGGAAAGTTTTGTTGATATTAAACCAATTTCTGGGCGCTGAATTTCATTAATGGTACATTTTCTCTATGTCTGGTTGTTATAGGATTTTTTTGTTCTTGTATTTAACTGTCTGAGAAGCGCAACAAAAAGCAAAGAAAAATGGTCAAGATGCCTTATTATTTCATCATGATTTTCTCGCGCTCGCGGTGTTTTTGGCCGAGAAAATGATGAGGAGAAGAGGCTAAAAATTTGATGAAAAATTGCTGTTTCTTCCCCACTCTCTATATAGATGCTAATCTTCCTCTATTTACCGCGTGTTTCACCTTCTGTTTGTTTAAATAAACACGCAGTTGATATTAAGAGAAATGAGAGGAGGTGAAGATATGGTGAAAAGTCATTCATAAATGAGTGCAAAAGTGGGTCAACATAACGAAGATTATTATGGATTACAATATTGTTATTAAATTATGATTTTTTATACCACTGCTAATTAACTTTATATAGGATGTTTTAAAAGCCAATACAGAAGAGCACGATGATAAGATTCGTGTATTAGAGCCTTGTTCAT